GNGNCTTGTATATTGTGNNTTAATANAAATGTAAAGTAAAGTTTGNAGATTATGCTAAAAATATAAATTGACATTAATTTTATATATACATGGTCATTAAATATTTAATTACTACCACTAAAACTATTAAATATAAATAAACTTGAATTTATTTTGATTTTTAAAAATGGAATATATTGTATGTCAAAAGTATAGTTGCAACATTATAACCTTTCGTAGCTTTGGTTTTGAACAACCTTAAAAGATTATATAAGATACATCAAAACTTGATACACCAATTAATACACACCCGCCCATATATTCGAATTTCCTTTTCTACGAGATTCTAGATTCAATTGCTTTATTTCTCCGATTTTCTTTTCTTTTTTCTCTGCTAATATCTCCGATTTTATTCTTGGTAGACAAGAATGGATCATTACTTTCTAAAATTGTTATTAGATAATCGAAACTCAAATATTTTCTAATTAAATCCATAACTAATTCACCTTCCACATTTAATTCCCCTCTCCCTCTCTTCCCTTGTATAAAAATATACATTATGTCTTCTCCATTTTTGATCCGTATAACCACAAGCAAGAAAAATAAAAGTTCTTATCTCTAATCAAATCTCTTTAACGAGACTAAATTCTCTTTTTAATCTTTTTGAGATGGCACCAACGGAGATGATCAGCGAGAAGAGTATTGAGTGTGACGTGACGGCGAGCCTTAACGGTGGTAAAAGGGCTTACGTCACATTCCTAGCCGGAAACCTAGACTATTGGATGGGTGTGGTTGGTCTAGCCAAAGGACTTCGTAAGGTGAAATCGGCGTATCCTCTTGTGGTGGCGATTCTACCGGACGTGCCAGACGACCACCGTGAAATCTTGAGGGCTCAAGGATGCATCGTCCGTGAGATCGTACCCGTTCATCCACCGGAAAACCAAGCCGGCTATGCTATGGCTTATTACGTCATTAACTACTCCAAGCTTCGTATTTGGGAGGTACGTACAATACTACTTATTATATTTGTGTGTAAATATATTTATCCATACATTTATGGCAAATCATATGATCGAATCTTTAGATTTGTTTAGTAACTAGTATATATATGACCGTATCATTTTTTTCCATGTATCATGCATGGTGTTAACAATTACTTAGAGAGTGATATGTAGATTTCAGAATTTTAATTAAATAAAATCGTTATAACGCCTTTCGTTTATAATAAATAAATTGTTACGTCAAAAACTTCTACTTGCGATTTCTATGCACCCATGTAGATCCTTTATTAATGGATTTTAATCATATAAATGCAGTTTGTGGAATATGAGAAGATGATATATCTAGATGGAAACATACAAGTGTTTAGTAACATCGATCATCTTTTCGATACTCCCTCCGGCTACTTGTACGCCGTCAATGACTGCTTTTGCGAGGGGACTTGGTCCAAAACTCCACAGTCCAGATCGGTTACTGCCAACAGTCACCGGAAAAGGTGTCGTGGCCGGTTGAAAGTCACGGTCCACCACCACCGTTGTACTTCAACGCCGGTATGTTGGTCTTCGAACCAAATCTTGTCACTTACAATGATCTCCTTCAAACTGTCCAAGTCACTACTCCTACTTCTTTCGCCGAGCAGGTTTGAC